TATGACATTGATATAGGTACTTTGGCTTTCTTATGATTAGTGTTTCTATGATTGAACTTTTCCATTTGTTTAATTTTAGTCTATCTGTTTTCTGCAGATTTAACATATATTAAACATCATATTGATGGGTTTTCCTTATCCATCGATATTGGCAATTTCTGACTTTTATGAATAATTTTTTTAAAGTTTATTTATTTTTGAGAGACAGAGACAGAGCACAAAGAGAGAGGGACACACAGAATCCAAAGCAGGTTCCAGGCTCTGAGCTGTCAGCACAGAGCCCGATGCAGGGCTCGAAGTCATGAACATGAGAGATCATGACCTGAACTAAAGTTGGACGCTTAACCGACTGAGCCACCCAGGCGTCCCTTCTGATTTTAAATTTAACTGGAGTTTAGCCCACTTATATTTAATATTCATATGGCTGGGTTTGAATCTACCATTTTGCAATCTCGTCTATTAATTTCATCTGGTGTTGCTTCCATCTTTTGAATATTTTGTATCCTTTTTAATATCTCATCTTATTCCCTCTCTTATTAGATATACCACTATTTGTACTAAATGCTGGAGATTAAAGTACAAAACTTTTATTATGTTCTACCATCAAATATTTTACTAGTTTAAGGTATAAAATAATGCAATAAACTTAGGATACTTCCCTACTCAAATATTCTGGTTTTATTTACACACATTGTACTGCTACATGTTTTAAATGTTACAATGTATTGCTGTTATTTTTATTTTATGTGGTCAATTTCCTTTAAAGAAATTAAGAATACATAAAGCCTGTTTTATATTTACCCATATATTTACTGTTTCCAGAACTCTTCATCTTTTCTTGTAGTCCAGATACGTTATCATTAAACTTCACCTTGAAGAACTTCCTTTAACATTTATTCTAGAGCAGGTCTGCTGGTGATTAATTCTATCAGCTTCTGTTTGAAAATGTTTTTATTTTGCCTTAACTTTTAAAGGCTATTTCTTTCTGGATAGAAAATTATAGACTGACAAATTTTTCTAATAGCAATTTATAGATGGTGTTCCTTCAATTACTTTGCATCAAATTTAATGAGAAATCATCTTTCACTCTTATAGCTGTCCTCCTATAATCATTCTTTTTATTATCTTTTTATTCAGTCTACTGTTAAGATTTTCTCTTTATCAGTGGTATTCAGAAATGTCTCTGTTTTTCCTTATTTTAGTTTTCTCTGTGTTATTTGGGTTATTTGACCTTCCTCAATCAGAACATTTATACTTTTTATTGAATCTGATAAATTACTTTATTTCTGCAAATTTTTTTCTGCATTTCTCTTTGCTTCATGAACTCCAAGTACATGAATGTTAGTCTGATATTATCCCAAAGGTCACAAAGACTTTTTATATCTTTTTAGCCTTGTTTATCTTTGTACTTAAGATTGGATGATTATTGTTATGTTTCATATTCACTGACATTTCTTCTGTAGTGTTGAGTATGCTATTCAGCATCCAGTGGATTTTTCATTTCATGTAATCTTTTAATTTTAGGATTTCCATTTAGTACTACTAATTTTTAGTTTCTATTTGTTTATTGAATTTTCTGTTTTGCTCTCTTACTGTTGTCAGATTTTCCCTGAAATCCTTGAATGTATTTATAAAACTCTTATAATCCTTATTTGTTCATTCAATGTATTTGGCTTTTTCTGGGCCAGGTCCTATTGACTAATTTTTCTCTTGAATATGGGTCACATTTTCATGCTTCTATGTGCATCGAAAGTTTTGGATTGCACACACACACATATTCCCATAAACACATAGGCGAATCTTTTTCAGACTTTGTAATAACTAAATTCCAATATCCATATCTCATACCATTGATTTAGAGGAGTAAATCAAATTATTGGACTTTTGAGATCAAACCTCTCATTTATTTATTTATTTATTTATTATTATTTTATTTATTTATTTATTTTATTTTTTTAATATATGAAATT